TTGAAAGTTTACGCCCACACGAAAACCTGCACATGAATATTTATAAGTAGTGTTACTCATAATTGCCAAAAACTGGAGGCAACTGAAATATTGCCTCCAGTTGGCAATACTTCCAATCCGTACATCTGGGTTGTACTGTGGTACATCCATACAATGGAATACTATTTAGCAATAAAAAGAAATGAGCTATTGAGCCACACAAAGTTGTGCACGCATCTTAAATGCATAGTGCTAAGTGAAAGAAGCCAGTCCGAATAGACTACATAATCATATTTATGTGAAATTCTGGATAAGGCAAAAGTATAGAGGAAGTAAACAGAACCATGGTTGTCATAGGTTTGAGGGGAGCGGGGAGGATTGAATAGATGAATTCAGGGGATTTTTTAGGGCAGGAGAACTATTCTATATGTTATTGTAATGGTGGATACAGGATACCTTGCGTTTACCAAAATCCATAGAACTTTACAATACAAAGAGTAAACCTTAACGTACACAAATTTTAATACTCATTTAGATGGACAGAGTGTTCCAGGAATACTCTGGAATGGGGAATGTGACAAAAGAATCTAACTGTATTATAAATGTATGAAACAACCTTGCTGAAGTGGGACTTTACCTAAATAAATTTGGATGAGTAGAGTCTAAGACTAAAGGCAAAAGGAACTGTACACAAATACTGTACTTTAGTTGAAACACTTGTTTTACATGGCGGTACGAGTTAACAGTTCTGAAGCCACTATGTATGTATGCAGGACTTGGACAATTAAGTAAATGGATGGTGGACGGTGGGAGCCAGGCTTCTCTCTCTTGGAGTGGGAGGTTACAGATAAGCAGGGAGAGGAGACTAGAACGACCCAAGTGGTAATGGATTAGAGTCGGAGACGTCAGTATGAAGTCATGGTTAGCTTAATATAGAAATAGTGGCTACATACAGAAAGATTTATCAAAATGTGTATAAACACAGGTTAGTATGCAAAAATGTACTTCCTCAGTCTGTCAGCTGAGAGGGCCTAGAAGCAACACCACCCCAGTAGCAGTGAACACACCTAGTGCCCAGCTCTCAGTTTCTGATACCATTCTCCAATCAAAGGAGCCACAATTCCTTGGAAAAATGACTGATTCTAGTATAACCCAAATAGAAAATAAATATCTAGGAGTCCTTACTGGTATAAATATGCAATTGAGTAAATGAATGAAGGAATGAATGACAAGAGATAAATCTCCCATGCAGAAGAATTCCAAATAATTTTTGTAGATAAAATGGGAGCTTAACTCCTACTCCTTAAGTGTGGGCTGTGCACAGTGACTTCCTTCCAAAGAGTGTGGTACAGAGAGGGGAGAAAAGCGTAACTTTACAGTGGAGAAACCCAATAAACGCTACCTCAGCCAGGTCGTCAAGGTCGACATCAACAATCATAAGTTGTTTTGGTAATATGGACCCTTGATATGATGAGAATGGCACTTTACCTCTGTGGTCTTCCTCCCCAACACCCACAACCCCAGTCTAACCATGAGAACAACATCAGAATCCCAATTCTGCGAAATATCTGACCAGGACTCCCCAAAACTGTCAAAGTCATCAAAAACGAGGAAAATCTGTCACAACCAAGAGAAGACTAAGGAGACAGGATGACTAAATGTAATGTGGTGTCCTGGATGGGATCCTACCAAAAAAACAAAGCCGTGGTAAAAACTAAGGAAATCTGAATAAAGTATGGATTTTAGTTAATATATCAATATCAGTTTGTCAACTGTTACAAATGTATCATACTAATGTAAGATGTTAATAATAGGGGAAATTGAGGGTTGGATTTATGGGAGCTCTCTGTACTATCTTACAATTTTTTGTAAATTTAAAACTAATCTAAAATGGAAGGCTTATTTTTTTTAAGTTTTTTAAAAAGTTAGCTGGGCTGGGAAGGCCACTCACTAGCCAGGAATTCTGTCTTTTTAAGAAAAAATATTACTGAACTATTAATATATGCCAAACAATCAAAAATCTATTTCTAAATCTTAATCCGATTAATAAAATTACAACTTCGCTGAATAGATAGGTCAAACCTCCTGTTAGCAATGTACTGTGTAACGTTTGCTAATTTGGAAAAGATGAGAAAGAAAGCGTATGCCTTTAAGTGTAAATAAGACACTTAAGGATCTTAGCAGAAGAAAATAAACAAAAGATATGTAAAATATAGGTGTAATTATGGTACGTTAGTGCTATTGAGTCAACCCCGACTCCTTGTGACCCTGTGTACAGCAGAGCGGAGCCCTGCCCAGTCTTTTTACTCCATCCTCTCCCCTTCCAGTGCTGTATCAGACAATGCTCTGCTGCAACTCATAGGGTTTCCATGGCCAATTTTTCCAGAAGTGGGTGGCCAGGTCCTTCTTCCTAGTCTGTCTTAGTCTGGAAGCTCCACTGAAACCTTTCCACCATGGGTGGCCCTGTTGGTATTTGAAATACCAGTGGCATTGCTTTCAGCATTACAGCAACACGCAGCTGCCACAGTATGACAACTGACAGACGGGTGGTGTGGTTCCTTGACTGGGAAACAGGAAAGAAACCAGCCACGGTGATGAGAGCACCAAACCTTACCACAGATCACCATAGAGTAGAATGGTTCAATTATATTCATTCATCAGAATCGTATGAGATTTTAGATGTCATAGATAGCAATGAAGAGTGATTAATGAGTCAGCAAAAAGATTATCATGTTAATTGTATTTAAAGGGGTTTTTTTCCTTATTTTTAAATTAGGTAAGAGAATGTATGTGTATTTTATAGCAAGGACCCAGACTTCATCACCCTTTTCCTCCCCTGGCATATGCAAACGAGGAAGCCTCCTTCAGCCACAGCACTATGCATAAGACCCTGCTTCTCCTGACATTCCTGCTGTGACTGTGGACACCGCTTGGCAGTTTGTTTCACCATTGCACTGCGTGACTTTATTACAGGCCAGATCACGGCTAGGGTTGCAGCACTGGAATGATGCTGTCTTTAGAGGTTCACCCTACGGGAATAACTTATGGTCATGCCTTGTGTAAGGAGATCTTTCAGAACTCTCTCAGATTATATCCCGGAGACCTCCTTACATAATGCGGAACACTTCTTTATAGAGAACAGTTTAGTGGTCCAGTCCATTTAAATTTAAGTGGTTTCCTGCAGTACTACATTACAATCCTAGACAATGAGGAATGTTAAATAGTGTTCTAGGTTAAAACAAGGTCCCTGGATGGCTCTGTCCTATTAGAACCATGCACGGCTGCAGATGAATGGTGTTAACTGCACAGACAAGAACCAGCCTTGCCTAAGCCATAAATTGGTGCTGTTTAGTCTGAAAAGCTACACAAAGGAAGCTGAGCTACGCTTCCGGAAGAGAAGAGAAAGAGAGGTCAGATGACCCCTCAATTGCCTGGGATACCAAGCTTGCCCAAGTGCCCTAAACAGTCTATGAAAGAAAAATGCAGTTTATGTTTACACACCCCAGTCAACCATGACTGAGTAAATAGCTTTCTAAAAGATGGACATGACATCAAAAAAGTGAGGAGGCAATGAACAATACAAGGAGGGGTGGCAACCGTGGAGAAGGAGGGTGATTGGCAGGGGAGATGAGAACACACTCTGCGAAAGTTAGATGAAGGTGGATTGGAGCAGCCACGTGATGGTTACCCGTGGCCAAGGAATACCCAAAATGCTTAGGGTTTGCAAAGACTCTGGCTCATGTGGTTTCTTCGTGAATTGACTGCTGCGCCCTAAACCATCAAGAAGTAAATAGCCTTCCTCGCACCACAAAGCTTGCTCATCCACAGCGTCCAACCAAGTCAAAGAAATTGTAAGACACCAACCACACATAACCTTTTTCAGAAGGCAATGACTTCAGTTCAGTGGTCAAGGGATCCTCGCCGCTAATTCCCCCAAACCATAGCGAAGAGTATGAGGCAATAGTAGTTATCCAGCACGTTGATGAGAATGTTCTTTTAGAAGAGATCCTTCTAAAACCAAATGTTCCATAAGAAGCAGGCCAAGGGTAGAACCTTCGGGCAGCATACTGAAGGCAGCACAGATGCCAGCAGGGACCCAGGAGCTCTCTGCAGCTGCTCAGCTTTCACCGATATTTGAAATATTGGATATTTCTGGGCCAAACTTAGTTCCCATGTTCTGTGGACTCTCTTACATTGTCTGACTGACATTCTTCCTGCCCTGTCTGAGAAAGTGGCGGACCTGAGAGTGTGGGACAGAAGTTCCAAAGAGCTCCATGCTGTGCTATTTCCCTAAATAGCTGTGGTTTGTCTCTAGACTTGCAAAGAGCTACACAGCTACAGTGGATCACAGTTGACCCTAATAAAGGAAATTCCTGGACTAGGCTAAGCCTGTCGCCTTAACTCCAGATCCAAAAATCCAATGGATGACGTTAGCATTTCTGAATCTAGAATTGTCCTCAGACTGGGGTGATGAAAAAGCACGGTGGAATGAGGGCTGAACTGGGATTGGAGGACTTGGTTTCTTATTATTGCCCCTAATCTAGTGACCGGGGGTAAGTCTTGGAAACTCTCTGTGCCTTAGTTCTTGCTATCTGTAAACTTCGTTCTTGCTATTTGTAAAAACAGGGGCAGGGGTGTCCTGGATGGTATCCGCTGCCTCCTGTAGCTCCACCCTTCTCCAACCTGTTTTCTGTCCTGGGAGGCTGATTTGTAGGAATTACCTCAAAATCTTTTGCCCTGTAGCTTCTGGTTGGGGTCTGCCCCTGGGTAGCCCCAGGAAGAGGTTAGAAGGAAGAAGGTTAGTAAGACAGGGTATTTGCCCACCTGCTCTTTTCCTGCAGGGTCTCCTGGGAGTAGTGAGGTCCATCTACTGAAGGTCACTGCTCTCTCAAGGCAGCTCTCACTACAGTCATCTCCTCCCAGCTTCTGGTAACCATGTCCTCTGCTCATCCCTTGGGTCCACTGTTGGTAGCAACCCCAACGTTCCTAGCCCTGGGGTATTACACCATCCTGTGCGGTTTGCCAGCCCTGCCAATGCTTTTGTAAATGCTTTAATAAGTTCAAACCCTCCTGGAAGCACCTAATTTGAGAGTGCAAACTGTTTCCTGCTGAGGCCATGACTAATACAATGAGCTGGATTAGAGGTAAGCTGAATATCATGGGGTACTTCTGAGATTCAATTTGCATTTTGATTTGAAGTGTATGGATGCTAACTAAAGCTGGTAGAAGATTGGAACCAGCTTCCATAGTCATAGTGAGTTTTTGGATTTTTCAAAATAGTTTTACTATTCTTGTTGATTGATAAGTCAACAAAACATGTTTCAACTTAAAAAGATATCTTATTAGCAAAATTCCACTTTATTTGTTTTACATATCAGGATGTCATATACAACTCAAGCAGGAAAAAAGGCTTTACTGCTTTACAGTGCTTGATAATCACTGGTAGATGGCTTCTAGGTTGCGTCCCAGATTCTAAGACTCTAAAGCTTATACTTTGAGAAGTTCGGCAATACCTCACCTCTCTCAACCAAGCTTCTGGGTGATGAAGCAGGGTGACAGGCACTAGAAGAAAAGTATAGAGAAAACCCTGTAGACCATTTCCATCCCTGCCCAGGGTGACAGCCACCAGAGGCCAGACACCTAGCAAAGGTAACAATACAGGACAGGGTCCCTCTCCACTCCCTTCTTCCCTCAGCTGAAATGGTTCATTCTTTGTCCCGTCAAGACCTCTCTTAGTAATAAATATAACAATCTCATAGCTACCTACCATTTCCTGATAACCTACTATGTGCCGGGCACTATGGTTAGAGCTTTATATTTGTAACTGGTAACTGACCTCACCAGTAGTATACCAAAATATAATGCTTTCAGCCCAATTATCCTGACCTGCAGGAAGTCCAATCCTCCAGGCCCACCCCACCATTGAAGTACTACCCCCACCTGATGCCCCTTGTCCAGAAATCTCTGTATGCTCACTAGTGAGGGAGGGGCTCCTGCTTGCTTCAGTCTTGTCAGGCTAAAACTCAGTCAAAGGAACTTCACCCCAAACTAGACAGGGCCCTCTTCAGGTTAATCTTCTGAACTGCTTCCTCTAAAGTCCAACTCCGCTTTCAGCAGGGCTGGGTAGGGACAGGTAGAAAGCAGAACAGCCTCCCCGGGGCCCAAGAGACACCTGGACTCTGTGCTCTTCACTAACTCAAGGCAGCAGGCAGCTCCCACCACTACCCCCAGGCCACACTTCTTTCTATTCCATTGGTAAGTTTATTTCATGGTCTTTATCACCCTGCCCCTGCTTAGGGTCCCCCTGGACCTTCCAGAAGAGGGTTCTGAACTTTGATTCTTGGAGACAAGGGGTTAGGGTCTTAGTCCCTTCCATCTTAGAAGGTCAAGAGTTCCTTCTGCAAGTTGTGGAAGGTTCATCCCAGCACGCTGCTTTCCAAGGATGTGTGGTGGGGGCCCGATGGAGTGATCCCCCTCTCCTGAGTAATTCAAATCTTCCCCAAAATGACATTTGCAGTATCCACCAAAACCTGGCCCAGGTTTTAGGACCTGAGTCACCAAGCATTGCTAACTATAGGCATCCCCTGGACTCAGCTCTATTATTCCCATGTTACAGCTGAGGAAACTAAGGCTCAGAGAAGTGACATAACTTGCCCAAGATCACCCAGGTAGGTTTTGAAACCAGGTCTATTGAATTCCAAAACTCAAGCTTGATCCACATGGAGGCTCCACACTTTGGGCATCTCTCCTTTGCTCCTATTGATGTGGTCGCAATAATTGAATAATAATGATGATTGAGCTTCCCAGGCTGCAGTATAGGGTGGCCCTGGCCCCACACCTGGGAAAAAGGCTTAGCTGCATTTTCTTTTAGGGCAGAAGAAAATACAAACCATTACTCCTACTTCTAATTTCTATTCTGAGCAGAAATCTCTCGAATAAATCCTACTGCTCTGACTTTTTAAATTAATCTGTATTGTCAGGATACCAGATTCTAAAATAGAGCATTTGGGGAGCCAGGGGTAATTTTTAGAATCACAGTGAATTACGGAGCAAACAGAGGCTCAGAGTCAGAGTAAGGCAAATGTCTCTGATGAATGAGTTAGCAAAAAAATTTGTTCCACTTCAGTTCAAAGCCCTGAAGTCAGACTATGCTGTTTTTAGAATATGCGAAGGTTTTGCTAAGTTCAACTCAAGTTCAGCGCTGTAAAGAAGAGGTGCTTGACTGTCACTGCAGTGCGGTAGGAAGGGCTGCGGCTTTGCAGACGGGGAAGTAGCCCAGTCACAGCGCGGCCCCGGGCACATTGTTTAACATCTCCCAGGCTCAGAATCCTCATCTATAAAAGAGAGACAATAGTGATACTGCACAGAATTGGAGTTCTCTTGCCCGATGCACACTTAAAAAAAGCCAATTATTACAGCATCAGCTTTTGGGGAAAGAAAACAGCTTTATTGATATATTGATCTGCAAGGAGACGGGGCATATGCTCTCAGCTCTGTCTTCCCAGTCCAGGGCTTGGGGCACAGTTTATGGGATGAAGGGCAGGGATGTGGAGCTAAATAAAAGGAGAAGTGAGGTAATTGATGATCTGTGCAAGTGTAATCAATGTTCATGGCTCTTCATAGGACGCATGCTCACAAAATGGTGGTGTTAGTATGATCTGAGGGGGGAGTTTTTAGCTCCTTGATGTCAAAAAGGTCACTTATCCAGCATTGGCTCAGGCCCAGTTGATGGGCTGGTGGTCCCAACCAGCATGAACTGGACAAGGGGGAACTCTCAGTTCCTGAAAGACAACTCTTAAGGAGGGCCTGCGGTTACAATAGTACCTACTTCGTTGTGAAGAGTCAAAAAGATAATATATCCCCAGCCCCAGAACGGTCCTGCCACAGGGCAGACACTCAATGAATATTCAATGTGCAAATGAATAATGGGATAAAGCCCTGTTATTCACTCATAGACTTACTCCATAAGGGTGAGTTCCTTCCTCTAAGTTAAAGCCATGGTTAAGATCGTTCAGAGGGAGAATAAAGACTGCAAAGAGAGGGGCTGGCCCCGTGGCCAAGTGGTTAGGTTCGCATGCTCCACTTCAGTGGCCCATGGTTCAGATCCTGGGCACGGACATGGCACTGCTCATCAGGCCATGCTGAGGCGGCGTCCCACATAGCACAACTAGAAGGACCCACAACTAAAAACAAAAAAGAAAAACAAAGCGGAAAAAAACAAGAAAGAAAAAGAGTGCAGAGAGAATGGCCCAGAACTGAGCAGCTCACACAGAGACAGGCAGACCAGGTGATGTCCTGAAGACGACCCGTAGAGCTGCAAGGAGGTGGGCGGCCCCAGTGAGAGGGAGACGGGGAAGGCCAGGGAGGAGAGACTTGTACATGCAGAAGTGTCCACAGCGGATGCTGAAGAAAAGAATGGAAACATGTCCAGGTAATTAGAGGATTAGGAGGTCCTTGGGGACTATGGTCAGGGTTCCAGCAGAAAACAGATGGCAGTTCCAGAGTTTAATAAGAGACTATTTACGAGGCTGTGAGCAGACTTATGGGGAATTGGTCAAGGTGAACTGCCCTGGGGCTGAAAACAGCAGGAAGCCACTACCATCCCCAGGCATAAAGGAGAAAGGGAATCAGGTTCTCCAGGACCCAGTGGAAACCATGACAGGAAGAGGGAGTCTCAAAAGAGCAGGCAGCCACTGCCAAGGCCAGCCCTTTAGAGATGGGCGGGAACCAGTCTCTTCCCCAACCGTCCACCTCCCCTCACCCCCGTCTCTCCCACCCTCCATCTGCCCCAGCCCTGCTATCTTCCACTAGAAGCCAGAAGTCAAGGGAGTCCAGGTGATACAATCTACAGAGGTCAGCCTCCTGGGGAAGAGGCCATGGGGGGAAGCATGAAGAGTGGGCCTAGACAAATGGGAATGTCCAGTGACAAGAGCTTTTCCCATATTGAAGTATATGGGGTAACTATTCAGGTTCAAAACTGATTCGGCTTAAACTAAAAAGCCTGACTCACTGCCTATCAAACATACATTGTACACCTGCTTGACCATTAAAGAATGCACTCTCTCAACATAAGAATGCATACTTCCCCTCCTATCCCAATGGGTAACACCCTGATGGTAACGCCCAGATTAATCCCTTTCCCCAGTGTCAGGGTCATGTTGACCTGCTAATTTGCGACTAAATACCTCTTTGAAACATTGATGAAAATCTATCCTGGGTGTGTTTAATGTATGTTCTTTGTTCTAAAAAGATATAAGGCTGTACTGAAAACCATGCTTCTCTGGAACGCTTTCTAAGGCCTTCCCAGGTTATAATCCTCACTCTGGCTCAAGCCGACTCAGCTTATTTCTCTTCTCTGTAGAATGATCATTGGTTATTTTGCAATGACATCGGCACTCGGGGTGAGAGAGAGTGGTTTTCCTAGCAGGGAGGTGGGGGTTGATGGGGAAAAGGTACAGCAAGTCCTCTGCTCGCAAGGACCCTGTAAACAGCTTGAATCTATATATACACCTGAAAAGTGAAATAGAGCACAATGCCACTTGTTTTAAGACAGTCTGTTATTCAGAATTTCCACAAAGTCTGACTGGCCTTTCCCCAGCTGGTCCAAACTGAATTTTACTGCCGGCTGTCACATGGTGAGCTGCAGATCAGGCACATTTTAAGACTAAATAAAAACACCTCAGTGACTCTATTAGAAGGCAACGAGCCATTGCACTATTTCTTTTAGAAATTGTAATTCCCAAATCTGAAAACAATTTGAGAAAGTACTAAAAAACAAGGGCTCTGTCTGCTCTGCTTCTCTCAACGTGTCATCTCTGTGCAAGGATGAGAGCTATTTCAGCTCCTGTGAGGACCCATGTGCCTTGACCTACCTTCCCTCCCTGACTGCCCGGAGCTATCTTTGAAACTGGGTCTGCTCTGGGGCCCGCGTGTCCTCAAAAGCCTGGAGCAAACCCGCCAGGCACTAAAGATGAGTTGCGTGGCTTCTGCTTTTCAGGACTGCCCACCACAACTGTCCACCCCACACGCACAAGTGCACACACACATACTGACGCATTCCACAAAGTCGTCCACACCCGCCTCCAAACTGGAAAGCCTGAGTGTGTCACCCACCTGGAGCAGAAGCCAGACATCCTGATGCAGC